CAAAATTACATTTTTGATGAATCAATATAAAATATCTAATTAATTGATCAAGAACGTAACTATTGATGCATCAAAAACGTAACTTTTGTATCACCATACGTAAACCTTAAAAGTCCTTCGCTACGCTCCGGAATTACATATTTTATCAATGACGATAATAATAATTATTAAAAATTACATTAACATTATATATTCATTTATCGTCGCATATTTTATTTCTTTTTTTTTTTATTTATTATATTTGAATCGATTTTTATCAACCCTTATGGATTCGCAAGAATATAACTTTATGACTCGTGAAACCCTCTAACCGATTATTAGAGACATTCATTAACAAAAGAAAAAACAAGCGAAGCTTGTTGGATCTTTTGAAGTCGTCATAATGAATGTTTAAATGTACTAAAAAATCCAGACCTTCAGTGTAACGCGAAGTTCAAATATTGTTAATACTTTTAAAGTTCATCGTATTGGTGCAACAGAGGAACTGCATCTGCTTAAACAAGATAAGAATAACCTGGGAATGCAAGTTTATTATATCAAAAATTTTTACAAAATAATTTGTCTGCCCATCAAGCAACTGAGCATGGTGACTGTGAAAAAACCTGAAAAAAGGTTAATTTATGCTTGTTTTAAAAAATCAAAATACTGTAAAAATAATAATAATAACTTTCTTATTAGATTCGGGTTAGATAATGTTATATTCCCCAGTAATTACTTGAGAATATAATTAATGAATGCAAAGTGTGTGTTATTCGACGTATTTATAAAAGAGTTCCACCAATGCGCCCTATCGTTTCTGAAGGCTTTCAAAATCACGTTCAAGTATGCGTGTTATATTAACTTTAATAAATAAATTTATATAATTAAACAAAATTTACATTGCATTAGTTTGATACTATCAATATAACCGCCATTTCTGATGGAGAATATAAAGTATATCTTTCACATAAAGGACCATTTCAGTCAATTCTCTTGTGCAGAACCACACAGTCTAAATCAACTGAAGAAGTTGCCACGACGTTCCTTAATTGTTGTTTTATATACGGTCCTCCTGCAATTCTCCATACTGACAATGGAGGAGAGTTTGTTGGTAATACTTTTAAGGAAATGCTGAAGTTTTGGCCAACAATAATAATGGTACATGATCGTCGTGGAGAAAAGTAATGATATACTTGAAGTAAAACTAGGGGCGTGGATGGATGGAAGATATAGGAAGAACTGACTGGAGCATTGGTTTAAAGAGTGCCATATGTAAGTATTTTGATTTATTTTAATTTATTTTTATTATTATTTTCTCTTCATTTTATTTTATTTTTTTTATTTTGTTATTTTATTTAATTTTTTTATTATGCAGGGCGATGAACAATCAATATTGTTCTTCTCATAAAACGACACCCTATTGTATCGTATTTCAACATCCTCATAGTGATACAAATTTAAGTGACATTTTAATAGCGGAAAATGATAATTATGATGATAATGAAAATTATAATTCGGATATTAATGAATCGAGAGATTCTACTTTGATGGCACTATAGTAGAAAATATCGAATTAGAAAATATGGAAGATTCAGAATTGGAAAGCATGGAAAGCCCCGAATTAGAAAGCATGAAAGTCCGAATTAGAAAGAATGGAAGGTCCCGAATTAGAAGGCATGAAAAGCCCCGAATTAGAAGGCATGAAAAGCCCGAATTAGAAGGCATGGGTACCCCTGATTATTCTGATTTCAATGTTGTACCACTAAATAATATATTTTTGTTAAGAGAAGCAGGTGCCAGACAAAACCTTACTCGTAACAATAGAAGATCGACTAATAATATAGTAATAATCACAAACGTCCAACCTATAATCTCCAAGATTGCTATGCTTATAGTATTAGTGAGTATCCGTCAAATACGTTCCTTGGGTAAGTAAAAAAAAAAAACATAATAATCATGATAATATTAATAATACTAATAATAATAATATAAATAATTTTTGTAACATTAGCGTTACGAATAATAATATTGGTTCTAGTCAAGGCACCAAACAAGAAACATGTTGTTGCCGAAAAACAAATTGCGGCACCAAATTATGTTCTTGCAGAAAAGGAAATTCATTATGCTCAAGAAAATGCGGATGTGTTCTACGCGTGGAATGCAAAAACTTTTAATTACATGGTTAAATTATATATGAATATCTGAATATACGTTTAAAGAATGAAAATTTTGCTAGTAACTAACGTTGGGCGAGCATCTAATCACTATTATTCATTTTTTATTTCTTAAATTTATTTTATTTTAATTAATTTTTCTGAAAAATTAGCTAGCAATTAACGTTAAGAGAGTAAATAATAATTTATTTTTATTCGCTTTTTATTCAATTTATTTTATTTTAATTAATTTTTCGTTGAATGTATGAAATTTTAGCTAGCAATTAACGTTAAGAGAGCAAATAATAATTTATTTTTATTCGCTTTTTATTTCTTAAATTTATTAATTTTATTTTTTTCAATCTTTTTTTGCTTTTTTTTTAATCGGTAAATGAACACCGATTCTAAAATGACCTACTTCATTTCACGATCCACGAATGACAGGCGCCAATTCCTGATCGACTTAAATCCCGTATCGACGCGGAACATTATTACGTAGTTTTACAAAATTTATACTTGCGCCTTATTAATTTCATTAATTTCACTTATGATAAAATCAATATCTTTTTCTATTATATTTCACTATTTCCATTTAAAATTTCTATCATTAAAGTTAAATTGTTGAGATTACGATATGGTGGAATACCACTTGTGAGTTCCAAGAATATTATCCTTAAGCTATAAATAACTGACTTTTCATTTGGTTTTTCCTTCATGTTTGAAGCATTGTGGACCGGTGTATGCAATCATTCCTATTATTGCTGAGTTTGAAATAGCAGAACTACTGAATTGCCTTGATATTCCAAAGTCGAAATTAAAGCATTACCATTATGCCTCAAGACATTCTTAGGAGTTATAAATAAATAAATATATATATATATATATATATTTGCATAGTATATATATGTTGTAAGTGTGGATGGGACTAAAATTAGAACGGAATAATTATACTAAAAATCCCAACCCTAATCTTAAAAATTCAGAATCAACTTAAATTCTACGATACCTACACTATATACTCAAAAAACTGATGTATCAATTACTAGTTCAAATAACTATTTTAAAAAAAATATCATGTTAGCATGATAAATATGTTTATTCATTTTTAACTAGATATTGATATTGAATATTTAAATTTTTTTATTTTTTTTATTTATTATCTTGAATTTATTTTTAAAAATTAACTACAGTATTATCTTTTTTAATTAATAAAATACAGTGATTTATAGTTACTAAAAACCATGTGTCCTCTTTTATTGCTTTGGGTCTATTCATTTAATTATAGCTTATGCTCATTTGGAACAAAGTTGTATTGTGCTTTGGATAATTTTGTAATTACCAAAAACATATTTGCAAATAATCTTAATCGACGGTATGAATCTCACTTTCATATTTGCCTTCTCATTAAGATTTCTGTATTTGTAACGCTAGCCAACAGCAGAGACCCATATATTAAAACTGGCGAGGGATTATATCCATCACAATTGAATCCAATATAAATAATTTAACTTGTGATTCCTCTCATATTATTATTACTCTATAGCCATTGTTACACAACTTTTTTTGTACATTTTGATCGACAAAGGAATTACCTCACTTCTCCGCAGTAAAACCGTTACATTTTTATGACTACATTTGATGGTCGATCAATTGCCCAGCCATTCCTTATTAAATCTTACATATTATTTTGTTCATTTTTCTTTCCATTACCACATTTCACATTCGCTAGCCAAACATTACCTCATTCTTTGTAGCCGTTACTTCATATTTTGTAAATTCATTTGG